AAAATAGGAGCGATCATAACTTTTAGCTCTATTTGGTCACTATTTGAGGACCCCTCTACGTAGTTCAGGACCAAATGCGGGGCCTCACTTTATTCAATCTGATGCTGGAAAGCGTAGTATGCAATCCCTGTTTGAATCGCAGCGTCACTAATGTATATTTATAACGCGATGATTGCAGGTGATATTGACATCATCGGCCCAAACTTCAGGATCATCAGCGTAGCCTTCTCCAGCTTGTAGAAGGGGACAAAGGTGGCAAAAGAAATAAAACCAGAGGATCTCCTGGCAATGTATCTTTGTCTTTACCTATCTAGGATACAGCATTCACACCAGAAAGGATATTGGCCTGCAGATCAAGCTGCAAAAATTATTTTGTTATAAAACGTTTAAGAAATTTGTAAAAAAAATAACAAATTACCCTTTTTACGTTTTGAAATCAAGTTCTAAGTAAATTTTTTGAATGTCATCTACGGGTGGGACAGTTGTCAGAGGTAGGTTTACAGGGCTGATAAGCTTTGATTGTTTGTTGAGGTGGTCTATATACCCTCGTGGTCATCTGATTAAGTTAAGTGACATTTTGACCAATTTTGGTTTTTCTTTTGTTTATTTAGTGTTTATAGTTTTTTTTTATAAAAGTCTAGCACATTACATAACCAGAACTACATAAATCCACATTTCAAACTTCGTACAAAAATTATAAAAATTCAGCAAACTTTAATAATTACACCAAAAAATTTTAAACTTTTTGTTCAGAATTTCAAAAAATTTCTATGTATGCAGTTTAATAGCCCATTAAGTTTAGGTAAGTAAAAGTGAAATTTTCAAGATGATAGGAAATTGCTTTGATTTTTAATTTTTTTTTTGGCTGATGGTGCTAGGCATTTTCTTTCATATAAAATGCACTATCCTAAGATAAAATGTGAGTGATTTGAGCCCCTACTTGATTTGGACCAAACTAAAAGCTCCTATTCATATAAAAATTAATTCGCACTTGTCCCACCCGTGACAAAGGTTCTCCCACCTGTGATTTTTTATAATAAAGAAATGATTTTTGTAGTTGTTTTCGCTTTTTTTGTATTCGTGGTTCTTCGTTTTATTATAAGACACTAAGTTCGCACAGAAAAGTGAAATAAATTAGCAGAGTTTCCGTAAAATATGTATATCTGCTCCCAAAAGCAGGTTCTTTTTTTGACGCACCCATGGTTTTTTCCATATAAAAGTAAGCTGGAATATTTTCGTATTTTGTAAAAGCTCACATATTTAATAGTCAGTTAGGTGTAGCTTTATTAAAATTTAGAATTGTTGAGTACTTTATACTTAACTTTAAACAAGAAAGACCATATTTTCTGTGCAAATGTCCCACCCCTGATGGTGGAATCGCCCTTATATGGCTCCGAAATGTGGACACGGCCAACACAGATGAAAGGCTCTGGAGCAAATAATTCTATGCAAGACCTATGCCCTGTTTGCATTGGCAATGTATACCAAGGAATATGGGGCTATATATAGGCTATAAGAGCTTTATAATCACATGAAAATAGTAAGAGACAATGATGACACTCGCTTGAAGCAGTCGTATGTTTGGAAGATGACGCTCCGTAAAAATTATATTTCGACCCGATACGAACGAGTGGACAACGAAAGCAATGGCAACAATGAGTATAATAGAAGAACCAAGCACGGGTAAAAGGACAACTTGTGCGACTCTGCAAAGAGAAGAGGCTGTTGGCAACATTTTATGTTTCGATCCAAATAAGAGAAGGTTTTTAATGAGATCAGGATTGACCATTTCAAAGGAGCAAGCCCGAGATTTTTTTTAAACTTTCCATACGTTGAATATCGAGGGACTCCTAACAAAAAGTTTTTGGGAGCAACACTAATTAAGATCTTACAAAAAAATTGATTTTTTTTCAAGAATGGTGTCTACGCACTTATAGTACGTTCCCATTCCTAACTCGTTCGTCGTTCAGAAAAAGCTCTTTCATCAAATATCGACATTTACGTAGGTATGTATGTATGTATGTACAGTGGCGGTCAAAAGTGGATGAATGGTGTTTCGTATTTAATATTTACAATGTTTTTCAGGCTATTATTTTTTTTTATATTTTTTATAAAAATGCGGTTCATGCTTAAACAAAACTATATAAATCTCACTTTCAAACTTTATACAGAATTTAGAAAAAATTCACAAGTTTTTATCTAAATTTCGAGCTTTTTAATCAGGATTTTTTAAAATTCTTTGGGTCTGCACTTAACAAGATTATAAAATTTTAGTAAAGTTACGGCGTTTTTGAACTTTTTTCCATATAAACATGAAATTTTTGTGGAAGAATATGCGCAAGATCTTTTGCGAAAAAAAGGTCAACGCCTGTTTTCTTAAATTTCGCTTAATTAAATATAAAAAAAAAAAAACCAAAAAGCCCTCAGCAAAAAAAGTTTTTAAAAATCAATTCGGTTTTTTATCCGCTCAAAACTTGCACTAATTTTACTAAATTTTTTAATCCTGTTAACTGCATACCCCGAAAATTAAAAACAAAATCTGCGTAAAAAGCTCGAAATTTAGATAAAAATGTGTGAAATTTTTCCAAATTCTGTATAAATTTTGAAAGTGTTATTTATATAGTTTTTGCTAAAGCATGACCCATATTAAAAAAATATCAAAAAAATCTAGCTTAAAAAACATTGTAAATATTAAAAACGAAACACCATTCTTCCATTTTTAACCGCCACTGTATATGTAGGTCGCTATGCGCAGCTTTCGGAACGAAATAACTCATTTCTAAATAATTTCAATGCCATCATCGGCACCGAAATTTGCCTGGGGAATTATTGAATTTAGTTGTCAAATAAGAAGCGACAAAGCAGAGAGAAAGGAACAATACGATGAAATGTATGAAAGAAGGAGAAACGTGTTTGGCGGAGCTCCCTTGAATATACATACATACATATCGTCACCTGAAAAACAAAAGTCGTAACTTACAAAAAATTCAAAATTCACTTTTTCATTGATATGATGGATTTCATCCAATTACAGCTCCACACATCGTTTTATGAAAAAAAATTTAGTCACTACTTTTTCCTGTTTTTCAGTGACGACCTTTTTGCATTTCAGATGACGATATGTATGTATGTATCGTAATATGTATATAGATGAGCAGTCAAATTAGCGAGTTACACGGAGTTGAGGGGTAAATGTATATACATACATACATATTTTATCTTTAGTAACGGGTGATTTTTTTGAGGTTAGGATTTTCATGCATTAGTATTTGACAGATCACGTGGGATTTCAGACATGGTGTCAAAGAGAAAGATGCTCAGTATGCTTTGACATTTCATCATGAATAGACTTACTAACGAGCAACGCTTGCAAATCATTGAATTTTATTACCAAAATCAGTGTTCGGTTCGAAATGTGTTTCGCAAACCCAATTGCTGCGAACGGCGACGAATCGACATTTCACGGTCTTCAGCAACACTCTCAGAAACAGACGCAATATTCTCTTCTGTACGCACTGTACGCATTCGTGTGGTTGGTTTAATGTCCAATAAAGTAAACTGAGTGCGAAACTTGGTCACAATCGCATTAATTGTTTGCTCACTTGGTCGATTATGTAGACCATAAATCGGACGTAAAGCGAACCGAACACTGATTTTGGTAATAAAATTCAATGATTTGCAAGCGTTGCTCGTTAGTAAGTCTATTCATGATGAAATGTCAAAGCATACTGAGCATCTTTCTCTTTGACACCATGTCTGAAATCCCACGTGATCTGTCAAATACTAATGCATGAAAATCCTAACCTCAAAAAAATCACCCGTTATATTGTTTGTTGTAGAGGTTTTATAGTCGCTAAAATTACAAAACCGCGTAACTGACATTTGCTGCCAAAAATTGGATTTGCTCACAAAAGCTCTTGGCTCAGCCTTTATCCACTCGTCCTGAAATAAATCAGCCAGAAATGCGATTGTTTTATAAAAAGGGAAACCATTTTGAAATATAAGTGTTTTAACTCTCTAGAAAATAGTTTATGCAACCTCACGTACGCGGTTTTGTACTTTAAGCGACGTTACGATTGCTTGTTTCCTTCAAAACACACGCAGGTTTTTTTTTTATATTTTTGTAGTTTTTTTGCTTTTATTAATTTTCATTTTATTTGTATTCTATTTAATTTACTTAATTTATTAACTCAGAAACATAATTTTTTGTTGTTTTCTATTTTAGTTTTAAATTGTATTACTAACACACTGTGCTTTCTGTTCAAATTCTTTTGAGAAATATGCGATTTTTGTTTTTCTCGTTGACCTGCACATTTTGTAGACTTTTGAATTTGTCACACACATACGCATACAAACTTGCCACTTACTTAGTCGCTAAACTTAAGCATTAATTACATACATTTTTACTGTACATAATTCTATTTTTGTAAATAAGCACTAATTTTGTTTAAAAATTTTTTGCTTTCAAATGCTAAATATTTACAAAGTCTGCTTTTGACCGTTCCTTTTTCACTTTCTTTGTTTTGCATATGCGCTAATTATTTACACAATTTCCTTGCCTTGAATTAAGGACTATGCTTAATTTTTAAATCTACATTTTTTACGAATATTTATACATACATAACTTTGTTTCTGGGCTTTTTCTCAATTCTTTATTTTAACCTCGAAATTTCTTTGATTTGTTATCAGTTCACAATTTTGTTGTTGTTGTTTTATTTTTTTACCTTACTTACTGCTGCTTTACTTTAGGGATTTTCGCTTTGTTTGGAAGATATTTTTGATTTTCTTCATTTGCATTTCACATTTTTACAAATTGGAGCATATTTGCTACATACATATTCTAAGTAATGTTTAATTTGGGGTATAAATATTTCAAATGATAAGGCAAATAGTTGTACAAAAGTAAATGAAACAAGTAATTTAAAAAAATTTAATTTTAAGGGCAAGCTTTTATTATTTGTGCTAAAAAAAAAGGGAGGATTAAATCGACCTGTACCACCTAACGGCTAAATTTTTTGTGGAGTTATTTATTTTTTTTTCGCTTTAAGTAATATGTATGCCAAATATGAACCATATCGGAGCATGAATACTGACTATTCAAATATCTTGACATCTGCGCCACCTAGCGGATTAATTCGTTTTCAATATTTCTCATTTTCATCGGATTCTGAGATAAGTTTGAAGTTACAAGTCTATAGCACATCGAAAAGTTGGTAAAAAGTTGATTGCAAGATTTAATTCTGCGCAGGTGCAACGTTAAAAAAGCTAGTAAAAACGCATTCATCGAAATATTTTTTTTTTACAATAGAGGTTGCAAATGAAAAACAAAAATATAATCGAAAAACTTTAACTCTCTAAAAAAGAAACATTTTTAATTTCAGATAAATACCTATGGCCTTATTCAGAGGAAATAAAGTAGGTTTAAAAAGCTAAATAAATTGATGCTTTCATACATTTTTTTATTTATAAACCTTTTGTAAGGCTACTTAATTTTTTATGAATAAGGCTGCTAGCCTATAGACGTGGAAATTTTCAGGAAAAAATTTAGCTAATGAAATTATTAAAAGCAGAAAAGTGTTCTTCCCAAATATTTCAAATATTGGATAGTCGAAAAAACGCGTATGGATTTGGCAACATTACGTGCGGATTCATATCCGTGGTAGTACCAATTTCATCGATAACGTCGAATCAAAGTTCCATTTTGCGTTCCTTAAAAAATATTGACTTCAATTGTTTTAGTCAAAATTAATTGTGGTTTGAGAGTAGGTACATTAATGGGGAGATTCATGTCAGAAAATGCTGATAAATGTAATTGCTTTCCTTTCGTTCTGGAAGTCTCGTTGATGAAGATGTCCGAACCTCAGATTGACCAAAAATAGAAAACTCGATCACCTTGGTTAGCTCATGAATGGACAGCGAGAGATTTGATGAAAATGAAACATATTTTTGTTAGGTTCTTTTGGATTCGGATGTATAAAACGTCACGAAGTTTTTCGACTACCCAATATTATTTCTTCTCATTTATTCCTTTTGTTATTAACATTAAAAAAATGTGGAACTTTGATATCTGCCTTAAAGCGATAGTAAGAAAAGGAATTCCAAACAAATGTTCACTGGTGTTGGTCTGTCCATTTATTTATTTTTATTGAGCTATAAAAATGGATATTAGGTCTGGATAAATGCAAAAAAAATTAATCATCGATTTTCTAAAGAATTGAGTGATTTGGACGTGTAGTTTTCAAACTCCGTCAGGTTTAACTAAACCAAAATAAAAAAAAAAATTATTAAAACATAAGTGAGACTAGAAACATCCTATAATATACATAACTACTCAACACACATGCAATTGCGCTGTTTAGGCATCAAACAAAAAACATTCATACAAACATTTTGAGACTCATACTTTCGCTCAATTTTTTTTTTGTGGACACAAAACACTAAATGACGACAACTAAACTGGACGTTAACATTTGGACTCGTCATTATAAGTTGCGATTTACAAAAATAATATCCATAAAACCAAGAACACACACATATACATGTGTATTTGAGTGTGTGTGGGTATAAAGTACTTAGTCTAATAGTTCACTAAGCTTAAAAGCTACTACCAAATTGGCGGAGGTGGCAACGCTGCAGCGGGGTTTGAATTTTTGGCTAGACTCGTGCGTTTTTTTTTGCACTAAACAATTTTGTCTTCCACAGCTGCCAAACTTCCAACGCCTGCCGCACTCTGCGCGCGCTCCAAACTGCCCGCCAATCGGCTACCGCTCGCAGATATATTTATATGTACGTACTCTTAACCGCTAATATTGCTATACACGCGCTTCAAGTTCCTCGCTCTTCGCCAAGTAGAGCAAAGCCTTATACACATACAACAGAAATCGGGCGCTAAGCTAATCAATATACCTAATTGGTTGTAACGCTGAGCTTAAGCTATCTATGTACACATACAGAGGCGAAATATATAGAAATCAAAACGTTCTCTTTAGCATTTAGTACATCACATCACATCTATTTGATTAATAAATTTAAATTAGCTTAGTGAATTATGAATTAGCAAAAGCCTAATTGTAAATATTTATATTACTACATACATAATTAATATTTACAGCATCCATTGTGCATGGCATTCGCTCATGCGCCGCTTGCCCGCGCGCGATCACTTTACACATGCAACGTCTGCGAGTTCGACGCCGCTGCGGCCAGTCCACCGCAGCTCACCGCCAACGTCGTTGTATTTTTAGGCGCTGCTGCAGCTGCCGCCGTCGCTGCGCCTTGCTTAGCTAGCTGGGGCACTTGGCTTGGCAGCAGCTCGTTGTGTATGAGCACCTCTTTGTCGAGAGCGCGAGCACCGGCGGGCGCCTGCTTGTGCCCCACTTTCCGCCGCAGCACCGCGTAGATCATGAACATCATGATGAAGAGCAGCGCGGAGCCAATCATGGCGGTGACGCGGTTTGCTGTGAGGTAATCCGCTGGCCGCTCGCTCGCCAGCTTGACGCGCAACACGGAATTGTGATGGGCGGGTTGTTCGTTTGACGTTTGGCTGCGTGTGGTGGTAGCGGGCTTTGTGGCGTCCGATGTGGTGGATGACGTTGTTGCAGTACTGCTGCTGCTGCTGGAGCGGCTGGATGATGCAAAGTTGGCATTTGGATTGTAGGGGCTGAGGAAATCCTTGGAGCTGTCTTTCAGTATGCGCATGCGCGAGTCCGTTTCGCCCGAGTTGGCGCCTATGTCCGTCGCGCCGGCTGCGCCATACAAATGCGGCATCATGCCCTCCTTGCTGGCCATGTTGCCCGTTTCCAGGGTGATTGCTTGCATGCCGGTAACAGTGCTGTCGCTCAGCTTGTGCGTGTCGACGATCAGTTTGTACGAACGTCGCATGCCGCCAGTCTCCTGGGAACGAGAGCGAAAACAAAGGAAAACAGAAAGGTTTAAAATTAGTAAAATTACGAAAATTGGAAAAAGATTGTTTCAGGGAAGGAAGGAGTCGAAATCTCTATAGAAAATCAAAATAATTGCGCCAATTTTTGTGGTATTGCACGTGCGGCCGTGCTACACACACACACACACACACAAAGGACTCACTGGCTTGTCTTCGTCTTCGTCTTTGCCTTCGCTTGCGTTTTTTGTTTGCCTGTCAGCTTGACTGCTTGTAAAAATGTTAACAAATTAATTTACAAATGCAATGCAACGACAACGAGCGCTTATTGCCTGTTGCCTGTTGCATGTTGCATGTTTCATGTGGGTATGTTGCCGGCGGTACACGCATGTGTTATGTGTTGCACACACATCATTTTTTCCAGCTCATTTTGCAGCCGCTCACATGTGCCACCACCACTGCCGCGCGCCAGTTGCAAGTTCCAACATGCCAATCGATCAATATTTTGCGTTGCTCGCCTTGTTGCACGCTGTCAATTAGTGTACAAATATTGAAAGAAACAACCAAAGAGAATCGCTGTTGTTGTCTGTTCGACAATTTGCGTCAGCATTGCAGCGTTGCACGCGCAACACGAAAGAATGTAGCAAATCATTTATAATTGCGTGTCTTTTCACGGACCTGGGGATGCCACTAATCACACTGGTAGCCAGGCACGCAATGCAAGCGGCGATGATTGAGCAGAAAAGCGAGGATAGGAGGCGTACGACGAGAGAGAGCAGCGCGGCAACCAGGTGGAAAATTTTAAAAGTGACCGAATCGCCTCATTCGACGTACGATCGGGGAAATACTGTGTACTACCCTTCCGAATGCTTTTCACAAAAAAAAACAAGAGTGTACAACATTAGACACGGAAGCAGTTTGTGTACTTTTTTATTATATAATTAAGGCGCATACTACTTAATCCAATTCTCGAATAGCTCGTTAAATAATTTCTTGAAGTAACACTTTTCCCATATAATTTTTAAAGGTTTTTCGCCAAAATTTTGTGGCAGTTAAAAGACAGAAATCTTGCCTCGCAAATTGGCTTAACACTTATCAATCCTCAATCCATCAACCTTTATCCTTGCCACTGGGTTTCTGGGGCATTTACAGCCCAATAAAACTCCTCAGCCTGCGTGCGATTTAAAAAGCGACTCACAAGAGCGCTCTAGCTTTCAGCGTAACAAAGCCACTTCAACTGCAGCTTGCAAGGTACCGAGAGTGATTACCTGTTTGCGTCTGCAGTTGGCGAAAACTGCAGCAACACATGTATATGTATGTATATAATATGTGTTTGATGCGATCGCATGTGATCATGCAATTTTTTTTTTGGTCGCCGTATGCAGCGATCGCAACGAAAAGTGTCTTAGGAAAAAGATCGTTGCAAATATTGAACATTAAAAGCCATGGCGGACTTTGTGTGCATTATGCATAGGCGCTGCGCAGCAATTGTCAACAGCTATGTTGCAATGATGTAATTAGACAATTAGTGTGGCTTTCACACCCGGCTGGCTGCAGTCGGTCGCCCCATGTTTCGGGGCGAAGTTGGCTTGGGAAGGAGCCTTTGAAGGAGCGGCGGCTAGCCGATGCGGAGAACCAGTTTAGTGGCGTTGCTGATCAGCTTTAGCCACGCTATCAGCATAAAGCACCACGGTGGCGATCAACGACTGCAATGCTGGTGCTCTGGTGAATGTCGGTATACACTCGCATGCCGGTACATACTTCCGCAGAGGCAAAGCGTGGCTGAAATGGCCATAGACCTACACCACAGCAATTGCATATCTATATACTAGTTGTGTTTTTAGTTTTGCTATTTCTTTTATTGCAATATTGTTTTTTTTTACTTTTCTGTGATGATCTCTTCTTCATTGCCCTTTTTCGTTTTTTGTTGGTTTTCTTTTTTTTTTTATTGGATGCACTTACCTTATGCTTGCACGTAACTTGTACGTGATATACTGTATCTGGCCAAAGGGATAATTCAACAGTAGAACTATCAGTCAATAGATTGCCCATTAGACCGCCTCCGGAGACCTCCCAAGTGACCAGACACTGTTTCGATGCATTCGTAATCGCCTGATCCCAGGCAATGTTCGTCAGCACGAGCGAGCCTTGGCGCAATGCTGAATTAATGTTCAGCGGGAAGGGACCCAATTGCTGATCGCAATTGTTCCAGCACTGCAAAGAGAAAGAAGTGAAGAGGGCGAACTTTAGCAAATGAAAATAAATGTTGTTTAAAGAAATACAAAATAAGCTACCAACTGTACTAAGCGTTCGATTAGTACAAGAGCAAAAACAAAAAAAATAAAATAAAAAAAATACGCGATCGCGATAATCGACCCAGAGCGGAGAGACTAGCAAATAAAAACCACGAGCAAAGAAGAGATCAAGAATTTAGCTTCAAAGTTGTACTCGTCGAAGTTGAAGAAGGAGTAGATACACGTAAAATTTATGTCCGCGTGTGTGCTGGCCTGGGTCTGTGTACTGCGCGTTGTAATTGAAATTAATTTGTGGCATGTTGTTGGTTTTGCAGTTAAATTGCCTATACTTCAGCGGCATCAATCGTTGCTGTTGATTGTTGGTGGCTTTATTGCACTGCACGGCAATTGAGGCAGAGTCAAAGTTCAGCGCAGCGCAACGGCATTTAACCCGTTTTAACCCATTTTATGCAAATTACCGTAGACTGTTTGCTGCACGACCGAGACACAAACAGACGCAAAGGGCATGGGTGGTTGGCCGGCTGCTTGGCTGCTTGGCTGTTTGGCCCGGTCGAGGGAGGAGCAGCGAGCGATGCGTTCGTGGCGATAAGTGTTGCAAGCACAGTTGTTGCTTTTCGTTTTCTTTTCTCATAAAAACAAATATTTTTAAATGCTTGCCTACCTGCTGGCCCATCATGCGGCACATACGCAGCTTTCGCGCACCACAAACACAGCATTGGGGGTGATGAAGCAAAGAGGCACGAAGGAAATTATGATAAACTTTTGCTGGTGAAAGACAAAAGTTGTAAAGCAGCAACAACAAAAACGAAATGTTCAGTTGTTTGCATTGCCAAATAAGGCTAAGTGTGCTGCTGCTGTTGCTTTTGCTGATGAGGTTGCAACACGACGCAGATAAGAATGTTGCACAAACGATTTCCCACTTTTTCGTTTATTTACTTTGTTTCAATTTTGTTTACTGCATTTGTTGCATCAGCAGCAGCGATCTTTATTAGTTTGTCATGCCAGAGCGGCGCAGCATGCAACAGAAAGCTAAAAAGCAAAATAGTTGAATGAAAGTAGACAAAAAGAAAAAAAAAAAACAAAATGATGTGGCATGCGCAATTGTAGGAGGCGGCGCAATTGCTGTTGCACAGTAGCCGCAGATTTTGTGTTGTGCAACATGGCAGTTGGGAGGCCGCCGCCAGCCCGCCGCTAACTTGCTACTTGTATTTGCTGCAGATAAGATAAGCGCAGCAACCGGCAGTGGGGCGCTGTGCTGTCGAACAGCTTGCCACATATTGTTGTTTCGCTTGATTTTCTTTGAAACGTACTTGGCTTAGCAATTTCTAATTTGTGGCAGCCTAAGTAGTTGACGAAAAAGTTGCGCTGCAGCAGGGTGCTGTGTCAAGTTGCAAGTTCCTGAAACTAACTACTAAGTACTCAGTGCAGCAGTTAGATTAGATTAGATTTTAAATGATTTGATGTAAAGACAGCGTTGCTGTAGCATGCGGCTTACAGTTATGTCATAAAATGGAATATTCAAAAAAAAAAGGATGAACAAAAAAAAATCCATTCAACAGTTTGCCAAAGTCTTCTTGTTCGCAGCGATGTCTCAGATGTGCATGCGCATGTAAAAACCTTCTGTGGCAAGCACTCTAGCTAGAGCGGGTGGCAACAGCCCACCGCACTTCATCTTCATTCGCGTGCGAATTCGCGTTGAAATTGACGCCGACTTAGAATTTTGTTGGCAACCAACTTTCGCCATCGGCGGATGCTGCACATACTTGCAATTTTTCATTTGGTTGCACGAAAGCAACAAGCATTTAATATGCAACTTGCTTTCTGAAGTGTGTTGCATAAATGTATGAGCAACTAGAGTACTCGTGCTGGAGTGTATGTAGCTCAGTTATTAAGGAAGCAATACATGTGGCAGCTGTTGCCGCTCTAAAATTCTGACAACTAGGAATTTAATATGATATGAAAATTGAGTTAGCATGTTGTTGCATGTGTGGCAACAAGCGTATGTGTGTGTGTGTGGTAACAAGCAGCAGGAACTTGTACAGCAGCAGCGACATCCAGCAAACTTACTTTCTTGTGGCATGCAACAGAAATTGAAGAACATTTCTTTTTGTATAATATCAACAACAACTCGGCGCTCCCACAAGCCTTAGGTAATTTTGCATTTTTGCGGCAACTTGTAAACCTGCCGCACGCACACACACACACACACACACACACGCGCGCAACCATATACGAACACAAATGTGCGCTTGAACGCCGCAATGTATGCAATGCTCACTCAACGCATACGCATAAATATTTTAACAGCTTATTGAGCGCCAAAGTGCTGGCTGGCGAACGCGGGAGGAAGAAGAAGCGATGTTGAAAAAGAAAAGCCAGGAGCGGAGAAATGGTTGAGGATAGAAGTAGTGTAAGTTCGTTACGAAAAATCCGTTGAGGCAACAAATTTTTTCAGCTGCTCTGCGGAACGGCAAGCACCTTGTCGTCAGGTATGTATGCTTGTGTGCTTGTGTATGGCTGGGTATGCTTGTGTGTGCCAAGTATATTAAAGAACATCACTGCAAAAAATTTAACATCAAAAAGTCAAATATTTCGCATGTGTTAACCGCTGGCAACACATTTTTCGGAAGTCTAAGTTGTGCGCATATTATTTAGTGAACCCATCCACCAGCTTTGGGTGGCCTTGCTTCCAAGGGTTTCTTTAGAGGAGATACACCCTGCTCGGGTTGCAGTTGCTGTTGCACAATGGTATTACAAACTTCGGCAATATTGCACGCATATTGTATGCATTCTATGGAATTTTGCCGAAAGCGCATGCATCTTTTGGCATGTTCGGTTATGATATTGAAAATTGTTTGCAACTTTTTATGAGCAATAAATTTGGTAATTTTTGTTCGCTTCAAAAAAAAAAAAAGCGGCTAAGGAAAATGGTTTTTGTTAATCGTTTCTAATTATGCATAGTAATCTCTGAGTTTTACGTGAAACGAAATAAAAAAAAAATTAGATTCTAGTCGCTTGTCAGTCGTTTTTGCCAACGGTATCAATGTTTTATCGATATCGAATTTCATTATCGATATGAAGGATGTAAGTGTTTCCGTATTGTCAAGGAGAACTATGGCTATCAATAAGTGTTATCGATTTAAATCGAAATCGAAATTTTTTCTTTCAAAAGTGAAAGAATTTAAAAACTTAAGATTAACATTCAGATTAAGACCAAAATTAAGATTAAAATGAGGATTAAAAAAAAAGATTGAAAAGATTAAGATTTCCATTAAGATTAAGATTTAGACTAAGACTGAGATTAAGATAACAGTCACTAAAATAAAAAATAAAAGTTATATGATATCGAGCCCTAAACGCCAAAAAGTCGTAAGCGAAATTTTTTTTCAAAATTTTCTTTTTGATGCAGAAGTGTTTCTAGAGCATCTAAATGCGTTTCTGCATCAAAAATAAAATGTTGAAAAAAAATGTCGCTTACGACTTTTTGGCGGTTAGCGATCGATATGGTGAGCTTTGCGGAAACTTAGTGGGAGGAGAAGTTTCACTTCAGTCGCGCGCGGGGTCCACACACAACTTTTCGAAAAATCTTACCAAAGTTCTTTAATACCTAAACGCCCATCTTTAAAACCTTTCGTGACCTGACCATGAAATGGTATTATAACTTTAGTCCGATATTATACGCACGAAAAAGAACACCAAAATAATCAAAAGGGCGAGCTGAGTCGATTTAGCCATCACCGTCTGTGTGAACGCAATTTAGTTCCTCAGTTTTCGAGATATCCCACAGAAATTTGGTGAGCGGTCGCATTCTTAATAACTCTTTCGGAACCGAGAAAATCGGTCCACAATTTATACATATTTATATTTCGAGGGTACTTTAAAAATACCAGCACCTTTACTTTTTTGCAATTACTTTTTTCTTTCACAGCCACCGCTTTAAATTTCCCTTTATCCACATAACCTTTTCGCAGCTTTTCCCAATTTCTGTGTATGTCCGCACAATTCTCCATAGACCTGCCACATTTACTACGGTCTTACCATTGCGGCAGCTTTGCTATTTACGCGAATTTCGCATAGTCAAAATTTTAAAACAAAGTGCATAATGCATATTTTATAAAATAGTAAGCGAGCTGGTAGAAGAACGAGCAAGCAGTAAAGGCACGCGCGGAGCGAAAATTAATTCAAACATACATCCGTACATACATAGGTACATATGTATCTACAGATATACAGATGTATGTACGTGTTTATGAAAGGTGAGGTGCAAATATGCATAAATGGAAACCCAAGCGGCAAACCGACTATGCGCTGAATTTATTCGAATTGCCAGCAAGTGTTGCTTTTGCATAGCTTACAGCTTACGGGCTTACATACATAAATACATATGTAAATGCATAAAATGCACTCGTGTGTATGTACTTGGACACATATAATAAAAACATTGTTAAAAAATTTGTTTTTGTATTTATTGCACTGGCCATTTTTTGTTTTGTTATTTTCCTTGATTTTATAGCTTTTCTGTTGCACTCATTACTTTTTATAGCACAATTAGCTGCGAGAAAAAAAAAATAAGTGCTACAGTTCGCACACGCATACATTGAACGCTATATATTCTACAATTTTTCATTTTGTCTTGGGCGAATGCGGACGATGACAGAGAAAAAAGATAAGCGGAGAGTGAAAACATAATTATACCTACAGGATGTATTGGGCCTGCATTGTTCGAAGCTAGGTGGTGGAGCATTATAGGGAGGCAACTGGTCATACAGGACCTAAGTTAGTTGTGAAGAAATCAAGAAGTTGAGATGAAATCAAAAATGTAGAAACCTCTTTACTTCTATTTTAAAATTTTGAAATCCAGCCTTGCGACTTACATGTCCAACCTAAACAGCAGATGATCATCAGATACTTAATTTAGTTGAAGCCCATATAATTTTATATGGTGAGGTTCAACAAATCGGTGCTGACGATCTTGGCATGCAAAACGCTTTGATTTCCGGGGAAATATTTACATATATATTTCTCTTCGGCTCAAGCTAATAAAAAAGTATAATAATTTTGTATCTATCTAATTCAGCACATGAAAAGAGAGTTATTGAAAATGTATGAACTGAAAAAAGGTTTCTTGCAAGATAATAAAAATCCTTGTCAAATTTGATTAGAGAAACCCCAACAGAAGATATTGCCAATTTTACTGGTACTCGAAGTCGCTTACCGAGAATCTTCAAGAATTCGAGTTTAGTCCAAAAAAAAACAAGAATTATTATTATTAATAGCGCGTGTATAAAAGTCACTTCTGGCATAAACTTTGCGATAAGAATTCGATTTGAGCGTCCCAAAAACATCTAAAATTAAGTTTGTGTTGGACTATGCAGATGCTGACGGCCGCTGTGGGTGAGTGGTTAGAGGCGCATACTATCACTCCACAGGGCCTAGGTTTGATTCGTGGTCCGGGTGATATCTAAACCAGAGACAAACAGTTTGTTGTTAACAGCGGACGCCCCTCGGCAGGCAATGGCAAACCATAGAGTGTATTTCTTCGATGAAAAGGCTTCTCACAAAAAAACATTTGCCGTTCAGATACTGCAGTGAAAAAGCAAAAAGCGGCAAGAATAATGGAAAATGCAGTAAATGAAGAAGAAAGCAAGCATCAAAATACTTATTTAAAGCAACATTTTTAGTAAATCATATTTTTAAAGTCTATTTTCACCGATTTTTAACTGCGGATTAATCTCATTTAAAAATTATAGGTAAATAAAATAAAACAGCGTACTAATTGTTATTGCATAAAAGCACTTAAATTATACAACTTTTAGTTGACTTTTCAGTGGAAATGGCATATTGCAATAATGTATTAAAATCGCTTTGTTTTTAAAAATTGTCGAAGCATTAAGATTGATGAGACTTAATTGAAAATATAACAAAGCGAGGTATCTTTAGTGAATGCCTTTAATATATCTTATTGCCAATGGACCTTTGTTTGAGCAAATAAAAACTATTCCTAAAAAAACAAAATCAGTTCATCGAATAACCGGCAGCGAGAGGTACGGTCGGACTTAACTAATTTAATCCGAATAATTTTTAAAAAATATGTTCTTTAAAGCATTTATTTATATTTCTAAAGCGTTTGCTAATTGGATACACCCGATCTCCTACATAGGCAGCCACATCGCTGTTAGTTATGCAACAATGTTTGTACCGGTGGTGTACCCGCACATAAATAAAAGCCATCCTCATCCAAATTAGTAAAAAGCACTAAATAAATACAAAGCAGCTAAGCAATAATTTTGTTGTTGCTGTTCACTTTAATGTATGAGCATGTATAAAAAGTTAAGTTAGTTCGCACTCACCAGAAAACTGAACGCTTCTGGGATATAACTATTGATATTAGGTGGTGTGATGCACATCTGTAACGTAAAAAGAAGAAAAAGAAAGAAATTTTGAAGTTGATTTCGTTTTCTCTTTTTTTTCATTAAAATGTCTGTTTTTTATTTAAATGAAATTGCAGTTTTTGTAGCAGATATGTATGTATGTATTTTAATTGCATAAAAGTTTAAATTAGGTTTTGCAAGCTGTTTTTTTTTTTTTTTGTTGTTTGTGTGTTGCTCTACATATTGCTTTCTAATTGCAAATGGATTTGTTTTCGTACAGTGGGCGAACTGAAACAAGCGAAGAGTGGTGTTAAATGCAACAAAACGGGAAAAGCAGCAAGCAAGCGATAAATTAAAAAATGAAAATTCCAAAGGTGAATTTAACGTTAAATGTTTGCTTTTTGTTTTTGGTAAAAATAGTAGTTGCGGGTGCCAAAAAAAGTATCTATATTTGGAGATGTGTTTTTTCGGATTTGGTTGCAGGAAAAACTCAAGGCTACATGCATATAATAACAAAGAGGAATAAAATTGAAAGCAAAGTTTAAATAACTTGCGTATTTGGCTGGCATGCTGGGATTTTTCCTGAAATTATTGCATAAGAGATATCAAGTTTCTATGCTTTACTTCTAATTTATTATAACAAAAAATTATAATATACTATTATTTAATAAAATAAGGCTGTATGTATGCAAGCCATTTGCATTTTATTTACGGCATTCGTTTTTGCAAATTTAAAATTTGTAACAAAAAAATTGTTTTCCTTTATTTTAAACATTGATATACTATACTTAAAGCCAATATTCAGACACGAATACAAACACATGCAGCGCGACTTGTGCATAGATATATACATATGTAAATTGTATTAAATATATCATATTTTAACTTTTGGTCTTAGGCGAGTATCTCATGCATCGCTGGGGAAATAGTGTGCAATTTTTACGGCAGGGAGGTGGTGGTTGAAGGGCATGGCGGATACTATTGTTTGACTGAGTAGAAATGGTTGCTGCGTAACTCAATATTATAACAAATATTAATATTAATATTATAAAAAAACTAGCTTAAACCCAGTATATAACACTTATTCTTAAGGTGCTTTAAAGATAAATATTATTGTCATACAAGCAAATAAAAAAAGTTGGCCGTATTTCCAAAATGTTTTCTTTTTTTTGCCAAACCTAGGGGTCTCCATTGGACAAATTTTTTTAAATATCTCTACTGGAAAAGTGGAAATACTTCTTTGCAAAAGTTTAATACTTTTTGTAGAGCTTTAATATACTGGCATTAGAGGGTACACTAGGGTGATAACAACTGAGATATAGTCAATTAACTTTGAAACAAAATATCGTTTTCCTCGAGCTAAAAACATCGATATATAATATTTTAAGGTCGTATTGTAAATGCCGAAGATATGACTAAAAATGTAAAAAAGCGATCCCCACGTTCGGAAAATTTTAATTTTAATTTTTATTTTTTAAATTTTCTTGCAAAAATACTTTGTATTAGAAATTATAATAATTTATAAAACTTTTCGTTGGATTTTGGTAACTGTTTTTTACGATTTTGGTAACAATAGAAAACCACGGTGATTAGTAGACATTCACAAAAGCAGCGGGTCATACACGATTTTCAAGCCAACCAGCATCTTTGATGGGCAAATTAAATCCTTCTTATTTCATTTTAGAAATTTTAAATTCGAAACTGTTTTTTTTCAAATAAATTATTGACTATACATACATACATATGTACATACTAGTATATTTAGCTTGAACGTATGTATGTATGTATGTGCATACATTTATTAATATGTACCTATTAATTTAATATTTTTTTTCCAATCGACAACTTTCCTAATTAACATCGCCAATTCGACAATTTGTTGCTGTTGCTGCTCTTTGTTGTTAACCCTGATTAGTTGGTATTTGGGATGGGGTGTGTTGTATGTATTCTGTCTTTTGAACCAACAAGCGTACGAACAAAAGCTTTGACGTGTAACTTGTCGTTTGCCGCTATTTGTCTTATGGATAAATTTTGATTACTACATTATTTAAATGCCTAATTAACAACCTAAATACGCATAAATTATAATTTTAGGCAGACAACAGGTAGGAAGTCAATTCATGCGCCACACCACCGAATCCATATTTAATCCAAAATACAAATGTATAAACATTCTTACATACATACATACATAAACATGTGTATGCATGTTGGCTGTGCGTTGCGTGGAGGCTGCACGCAATCTACACATTCACAACCGACAAAATTTTTTTTATGGAAATTATTTTGATTTAATTAAAAACATACACATACCGACGATGTTTTCAGTTAATATTTACATTATAAATTTCGATAATTACTAACAAGCTGTTGTTGTTGCTGCTGCTTTTACTTCAATACCTATGTACATACATATGTACATGGCTAACTAACTGCCGAGAGAGTATCTTATACTAAATATGCAAAATTTATAATCTGAATTTGAATTGTAATGGGAGTGAAAATGCGTAAGCGAATGATAAGCGATTTATGTGTGGTTACATGAATACTATTTGACAATTGATGCATGACAATGATTAATGACAACGAAAGCGGCAAACAGCTGGGGTGATGAGTAAATCTAAGCGCGTAATGAAGTGATAAATGATGAAGTGACTGGTTGGCTGAGTGAGCTGAGTGAGCTGAGTGAGCTGAATGGCCGAGTGTGACCGCCTGAGAGTGTTGGTTTCTTGAAGTGGCAATTCAGGCTAAAGGAATTTTGTATTGTTGTATGGGGGTATGTATGTATGTATGTTTGTATGTATGAAGATTACTTTATTTGAGTGACATTGTGTTGCTTGCCTAGGAGGCTGGGCTGGTTGTTGACAGCTGTCCAGAGACGAGCAGTTGGCCAATTAGTTGTGCATTTTGCAACTTGAAGTGCTGGGCGGTGTGTTGTCCAATAAGGAGTTGAATTTAATTAAGTCAATGAAAGTGGTTTAGCTAGTGCAAGTGGTTAGTTAAATATCCATTTAGGTATGTGCATAGCTTTGTGTTCTTATTAGACTAATAAAATCAAGTAAACAAATTAAAGCGGACGTATCAAAAAACTAAAGTCCACATCATTCATTTTACGTTGAACTATTTTCAGTTGAGCAGAGTTAGTGGATGTTGCTCAGATTGATTGCTGTTTCGGGAAGAAACTACTTATGTTTATATGTTAAAAGAAAAATTTATATGCACTTATGTACGCATATACATACATATATCCAAAGTATTACACCAATAAAAGTGAAAAAAAAACTTGGCTCTTGAGTAAAACCACTTAAACCTTAGCAATAAAAACTTAAAAAAATGGTAGACCACATGCCAATCTTAACTCAAGCACACACACACACATTTGAGTGATGTGACAAATTTCAACAACGAATACAAAACAAATAGGAGATGACTCGTAGAATATTTGAAAATGTGTAGCAATTTCCAAGAATATCAAATGACAACTGATATTTTATGTCATATCTCAAAATTGTGTCCTCAATTTTTTGCTACACATATAAGAATATCCATATGTACGTATGCAAGCGTGCACAGATTTATACGAGTAGATATGTATGTATAAAAGTTGTCGAGGATTTGATTTTGCCTAAGTGGCGCTCTCAAGCGGCCGCCAGACACCAAAAAGGATATTGCCGAGGCAAGTGGCGGCATAAATGCACATACATACATACATAAATTCAAAAATGTATATTTGTGGGGGTGTAAGTGTACAGTCATAACTCTCCTATGTATGTATCGGTGCTTGTAGGCACTGCTGAATTTAAATTTGTCAGCACTCGCACGAACACAACCAGACGCACAAGGCCCCACAGAGCATTTTAGGCAAATTGTTGTCATATGTCTTCAATTTCTTTTTGCTCTTAAAACATGTGTGTCTGTTGCTCCACAGCAACTGGCCATATGCGTAATATATTTTGGTTCGTCATTCTGTCGGGATGGCCACAGCCACAGCCACAGCCACTACTCAGTAGGTAGCAGGTCTGTGGGGAGTAATTTTCTGAATGAGTTGAAATTGAAGGCATGACATGAAATTTTAATTAAGTGCTTGTACGTGTAATTGGAAATATCATATGTACGATATATATATGTAGTTACACATATGTAGAGATTTTAAGAGTAGGACAAGTTACGAGATTTTCATATAAAATTCCCCTTCGGCAGATGGCTACATACAAAATAAAGTCTTTGTTGGTCACTGCGCTTGCCCAAAATAGGCCAACATTGTTCGGTAATATTGTCATAAATGCATACATATGTAGTTATTGTAAAATCACAGATATATGTATGCACTTACATACATACACATGTACATATTTCAGTTTTTGCTTTGTCTTTTTTTTCAATACTTGTTAAAATGAAATGCCTGTTAATTACATTGATTAACATTTTAATTGCATACTTTCGGAAGATTTAGCACGGCTATGTATTTTGCGCGTAATGCGCTCCGAAATTAAATAAAGAAAATTTAACAGAAATTCGTCTCTCACATTGTAAATACCAACAATTATTCTCTCTGGTAAGAAGATGATACCCAAATGAGACGGGAAAACTATTTTTATGCTTCTTCCTTGCCTTCGCCATTATTAGTTATGCTTTCAGAAGGAAAAAGATCTATTAAATAGAGCAAAAACATATCAGACTACCCTTCGGACCGGAAACATATCAGATTAACCGAATTGGCCTGCCCAGAGACAAAATGCGGGCACTGCTTCGGAAGCGATGGGCCGTTTGGCACATTATTTTCTTATCGCCCGGCCCTGGACTGGCAATTATTAATATATATTTTTTACTACTGCTTAATGAGTGAGTGAGTGAGTGAGTGAGTATGTTTGTTGCTCTTTCGCGCTCAAACAGCTGAACGTATTTCAATGCACATTGCCACCTGATAAGAAATTCTAAATCAAATTAATCAATAAGATAAACTAAATAATTTAATTTGGGTACCTAACAAAGGAGAAACTATTTTAGAAATGGGGTTGCCACTTCATTGGTTTTGT